GCAGGTGGGCGGGGTCCTCCCTACTGCGAATTCACGTTCCCGGCTTCCGGAGCGACCTTCTCGCTTCCGGTTTCAAGTCATGCGTTCGCACCTGGCCGGTGGAGATCTCAGGGCGCTAGAGGAATTGGGAAGATCGCTCCAAAAGCTGGGACTGCGAAATTTATAGTGGGGAAGACCCCGCCCACTTTCAATTTCCCTCCTGCGTTAGAGCCCTTTTTCGCCGTTTTCGCGCTTTCCAATGTGGATTTTCGAATTCAGCATGGCGAATAGGCCCGTATAAGCACAAAATCCCAAATTCGAGTTTTTGCCCGGACACTGCCTTTAAGCCTATTGCGAGTAGTGTCCTCGTCATGGATTGACGCTATTACGATAGTATTGTTTTTTTTTTACTTTCAGTCTAATCACTCCAATAATATTAAATTTGTTACGCGTAAACACTCATCGTTGTTTAACTATAAATTTTTTATTTGATTCGTATGAAATTATTTCATTCCGTCTAAAGCGCGGCTTTTGGAATTACTAAGCGAAGTTTAGAAAAAGTGATTTTTTTCTTCTAACAAGTTATTATAATTAATCTTGTCTGGAGTGTTCGAGAAGCCTATGATACGCTTTGAACAAAACGATGATAATCAGCGCAGCTATGAACTGTCTCAAATCAATTTACTTTTCTGTGAAAGTGTATTCTTTCAGTTTCCAAATTAGATTTCCCAAAAATTTACTGCCTTACGAGTAGCACAAGAGCAACTTTGGTTGAGCGGGCGTAGACGAGCGCGAGTCAGCAGCTATGTATGTTGTCGTGACCATGCGCCTCAAAGGCATCGTCTTAGCAGATTTGAGAGTCTTGGCTACTTACTATCATTGTCGTGTACTAGGACTTCGATTTAGAACCTGTGCGCAACCCAAGGAACGCCCCTTCTAGAAGGAAAAATTCGGCGCCTAATCTAACAGAGCCCTTCGAACTCGGCCCTTTTGCTGAGGCCAACCCCCTTGAACGAATTCTCTCAGCCTTGGTGGGTTTTCACATGGCAAACACAATCAAGCAAATTGGGAACAGCGCCATGGAGAGGCCTAGATAAGGCAAAAAAGGTCTGGAATCTGCCCGAACGCTGTTGAAGGCAGCGTCCCCTCAAAATGATGGGTATTGGAATTTTGCAAAGTTCCATTGATAGACCTTCTAGAAAGTCCATCAGTGAAGTCTGGAGCAAAAAAGCGCTTCTGGCTCTAAATCCGCTCCGGTCTTCCGGACCCCCCCCCCCCCCCACTTGGCAGTGTATTTGGCGATATTCTTTGTTCTCTCATCGTAAGGGGTTTCTGAATGTACGGAAAATAGGGCATTTTATCAATTCACGAAAGTCATATATGCTGTGCATTTCGGTCTGCCAATATTGAATTTGAAGACATCTGGCATTGTCGAATCGATTGGCGACTAAATCGCTTGAGGTATGCCCACTGCTTGAACCACACTCCCCGCGATCTTCAAATGTATCCACACGATTGGCCGTTTGCCAATGTTGGATCTACTGTGCGCTGCTCACAAATATAGGCACGTAGACCCTTGTAAGTTGTCGCAGAAGTATCGAGTTTTCCGAAGCAAAGCGCGCTTACGACCAGTTACGAAGAATCATTGCAGTACCGAATCGCGCAGCTACTAAAATCGCGTGTGATGTGCTTGGACGTGCCCTGTGGGGAACAGAAGCGCCATCTAGAAGCGGAGCGCAATCTGAACTGTGACTGATTATGCATGATGTAATCTTCTGAATCAGAAATACAGGGTGTCCCAAAAAAATGTGAACACTGTTTGATTAATAACTCCGTTGCTTTCATGTCTTTCGCCGAGCTTGAGGCATTCTGTAGAGCGAGGTTCAACTTAGATTTGTAGTATGGAGCGAATCACCTCGCTGTTCGTTACTGTAGAATTACGGTATGATCATCCAGCATGTGGATCTATTGTGAAATATGCCATTTGACAAAAGTTTTTACAAAAAATCTGAAAAATTGTGCACCAGGGTCTTTGTGCACGCTGATTCCACTACACAACTTTTTATAAGTGTTTTTAGCTTTTTTGATGATGTAGTCACATTTCTGACAAATGCTGGACATTCATTTATTACGGTTTACCTGGGATAACCTTGGAAAGAAGCGTCACAGTACAGTGGAAATTTCATATTCGAAATCAGCTGCTTCCATTACCATAGTATAAGAGCTTTTGGCTTGTTTGGTTTTGTTCCGAGGCGAAATATGGCCTCAAATGGCTTAAAATCCTTGTCGAAGTTCCTACCGTAATCCTACAGTAACGAACAGCGATAGGTGATTCGCTCCATACTACAAATCTAAGTTAGACCTCGCTCTAAAGAATGGTGCCTCAAGCTCGGCGAAAGACATGAAAGCAACGGAGTTATTAACGATCAAACAGTGTTCACATTTTTTGGGACACCCTGTATAACCGAAAATGGGCTAACACTACATCATATTGAACAAAATAGCACAACATCATACCTAGGAATTGGACGTTTAAAATACATTAATTACAGTCAATCAACGTATGCAAACTCTAGGGCGGTCATGCTGCTAAACTTGCTACTTATCTTTCTTGCAACGTCTTTTTAATCTTCTTCATGAGAAAGCGCGAAAAATGTTATCATTTTTGATAAGCTGTCTAAGCACGCAGTGATATAATCACTGACCTTTCGATTTCAAGTCGACCCGTCTCCGACATTTGTTAAATTTTGCAGTCTTCTATTACCTATCAGGTAGCAGTCAGCGAAACCACTAGAATGATGTGCTTGTCATGAGTTCTACACATAAGATTCAAAGAACTTTGCTGTCGGTTCCCCTCTTCAGCTTTATTCCTGAGGCCCTGGGCATATTTCGCGCGATTTCAGTCGCGATGCGATAAGCGATACTCACTTGTTTGAACGCATCATTAGCCAGTCTGCGAGAGGTATACACACTATGCATTTGTAGTCTGCATGTGTTCCAATAAACATTTAGCAGACTGCCAGGTGGCGTCGCGAGTGAAATCGCGTGAAGTATGCCCGAAACGTATTTGTTCTGAGATAGTGGAGGGTACATAACATTCAGCGGAGTGCGCGGTGGATAAATGAGCATTTTCTTTAGGTGCCGAGTTGGTCATCTTTTCGAAGAAGTGGTGAACATTCGGCTTAATATCTCCGAACACCTAAGAAAGTTCACATCATGAATGAGAAGTTATTTGAAGATCACAGCAGTTTAAAGTAGTCTTTTGGCTTGGTGCATATGGTTTCGGTTAGGTTTCGTATCCATTTATCCTGCATTAATGAGTTCTGAACAGCTCACTGGAGTTCGGATAAGACTTTGTAGATGGCTAAGAATCTCGAAACTTTCATAGATACGCTTTGGGAAGTCGAACAACCTGGTTTTGTGTGCTGGTAAGATTGTGAAATTTGTTCATTGACCTTGGGGTTTATAAGTTTGTGTTTGACATATGCGAAATTTTTAAAAGGAAAAGTAGTGTGACAAGATTTTGAACTAGAAGTTGTATTTTTCTTCCTTAGCAGTGTTCAATCATGTTCTAGGCTACGTTCATAATTCCCTCCTATAGGTTCAAGAATGCTCTTGCCAATTCTCACCTCCAGACGATTGTCGAGAAGACAGCTAAGGTTAACTTGTGTAGAACTCGTGACATACTGTACATCAGAACTATTTTTCTAGCTTCTTAAGTCGGAAAAAAATTCAGCGGTCAATCATCCTTTCGTGGCTTTAATTCGTTGATTTGGCTTTGAGCAGGAGATCATCATGATTGCTGTTTGTAGGGAAAAATCGAAGTTGTGGATAACTAACATATGTCGAAAACAGACAAAAATTGCTCAAGCGTTTATCAACGTTCGTGCCTTTGGCGAATCTAGGACTTTCAAAAATTTGGTCCTAAAAGTGTCATTCATGATTTATCTCCATCATCACATCAGTGCCGTTAACACTGACGCTTAGCACTGATAAGGTGATATATGCACTTGTTGTACTTCTCTTTTGAATTACTTTTTGAGCTTCTCGAACTCGAGAAGATGACTTTCTGATAATTTTGGCTGCGCTACATTCATTTATCTCTCCACGGTTTCTCGACTTTCCGAATGCCTGTTTTCAGTTACACAGGTGTAGTATTGAGCAGTGGCGTTCCGAGAGTTTTTTTTTCGGGGAGAGAGCGACGAAATTTTTCAAATGAATGGGTCTGGCTTTTATGCTTTATTTTCGCGGGAGATATCGGGAGTTTTGCCACGACCATCGCATGCCATAAGGCTGAAAAGTGGAACAGTGTCAGAAATTTGACAACCTCTTTCAATTAGGTGATCATGTGCTCAAGCTCTGTTTGCAAAGCGCTAGATGTGCTCCTAGGTTGACCGAAAATAAACTTCCTATGGTATTGATTTGTCAGAGTATTTGATTATGTTCCAAAGAGTTCTAGAAATGTTTTGTTGCTGTTCCCGGCAAAGTAAATCAGATGAGTCTGAATCAACGGCAGTTGCAGTACGGTAAGTAAAAGGCAACTTGTGAATTTTACGAACGCGGTACAACAACATTCTAGAAATTTGCGAGAGATCGAAACGTCATGTATATTATCTATTTTCCATTAATATGATTGTCCTTATATGTAGGACTGTGAAATTTAATGGCAAAAATGTACGTATAATATCTCAATAATTATGACCGCCTTTGAGCGATATAATCTTAGATATTTTTTGACTAACTTATATTTTTGTTTATAGAACCGAACGCACAAAGATTCAATGTAATAATTCATAGCCTATTTTAATTCGTTCTCAAAATTTTTCGACAAAAGTTGCGTAATAAAGTTAGAAATTAGTAATTTGTTTCGCTGAGACGTATCTAATCGCCCGTTATTGCCTAGATTTCTTAACTCTGGAGGAAAAACTACTGGTAACTTGTACCACGAGAATGTGTTATCAGCTTGGAGTCTGTGTCAATAGTTGTCAAGTTATTATTCGTGTCTAATAATTACAATTCAGGGACCCTAACGCCATGGTTAGCACTTCTAAAGTTACGGAAACAACTAAGAAAGGACTGGACTTCCCCAAGGTGCGTTTGCTGATGGGATCATATGGTAAAGGATTGTTTTATTTTTCTAGGTAGAACTTCATTTGCATCTCGATGGATCAGTTCGTTTCTCGACTTTGCTTGAACTTTCACTGTAAGTTTCTGATGCTAGATTTTGCGCATCTGAGCTTGCGTTTTAGGGCCAAAGGAACTCCTCTCAAAGGCGCAAAAACAGTGGAAGAAGTTAAGAATGCTTTGATCACACATGAGCCGGCAAATTTAGCAAAAGTGTTGGAAGCATTTGATTTGCTTCTACCCATAGTGCGGTCAGTATAACCACAAAAATCAAAACATTTTGAGCATTTCATACTGTTCAGTGGTGACAGCGCTGCCATAGAAAGAATAGCTTATGAAATGTGCGAAGATCAAGCAGCAAATGGTGTGATCTACTTCGAAGGACGATATTCACCACAACTTCTTTGTGCTCCGGGTGGTGAGGTAGTTAATCGAATTTTTCGTATTCTAAGCATTCATCAGGTTGATGCATAAGTTTTGCAAAAAAAAAATACGAAAAATGTGTTCTAAATGTTCTAAAATTGTTTAAAAAACTCAATAATTTATATGTAATATACTTTTTTGTAATCTATTACATTTTCCTTTTCATTGCACATATTAGAGATTTTATTTGTAGCAAAATCAGAAAAAAAAACTTTGTAAAAAGTCCGAAATTATATTGTCGCAAGAATTATGCATCAACCTTGAATCTCGTAAATTTAGTTGTCCTTTCAACTCTGATGAAGTTAAGCTTGATTCGACTGGTGTAGTGGAAGCCGTCAAAAGAGGCTTCGATCGTGGTGAAGCTGATTTTGGCGTAAAGGCACGGTCCATTGTCTGTTGCATTCGTGGACTTCATCAGTATGCAGATGATATCCTCCGAATTGGTAATATTTCTGCTTTGCACATTTTTTGATGATCCAATTGAATTTTGCATTCAGCCACCGACTTGAAACATCTCGGTGTGGTGGCAGTTGATGTGGCTGGTTCTGCGCACGGAGCCGATGAACAGTATGAACCAGAAGTTGTACATATGTTTAAGGTACAGCGATCAGCGTTTTCAAAAAAACGTATCAGTAATTCTCTCGCATCAAAATTAGCTAGCTTGTCAATGATTGCAGAATATTGGCGACATTTCAGACCACCTTTAGATTCTCAACCCATTGACGACGATGTGGACCATTGGTGGCCCACGCACTTTTTGCTGCCGCGGACTTTTGTAGGCTCCGTCGTTAACACGTTGACGACAGTGCCGCGCAATGGTGCGCGGCAGGCAGTCTGTCCCTGTGGACGACGCCGCGCAATGGTGCGCGGCGGCCTTAAATTCAATACTATCTGTCCAATCCTCTCAGTTTTTGTTCATTTAATCCACATAGGCTCAGATGTACTCTATGTATTAGCCCCGCCCCTTTTGGCAAGCTCCGCCCACTTTTATGCCTCTCACAAGGATCCTTTTTGCCCACAAAAAGCATGGATGAGGCTGTAGATGAATGCAAAGACTTCAAGCAACTTCTAGCCAGGCCCCGCCCACCGTCAGGCAAGCTCCGCCCCCTGAGTGGCAAGCTCCGCCCACTTTTCAAAAGTGGCGGAAATCGCATAAATTCTCAAAATTTGGGCAATTTCCGACATTTTTGGTCGAGTGGGCGGAGCTTGCCAGAGGGGGCGGGGCTTGCACATTTTGTACTTCGTGCATGGATGCATGCATACATACATGGGCCACGCCTAGGGATGCATGGAAACGTCTCGTCCACAGGGACAGACCGCAAAAAATGGCTCGTCGTCAACGTGTTAAAGGCAGTAGATCGGCAGAATGAGACCGTGACAAAGCAAGGTCACAGGGTAGGAGCCCCCATATGGAGCCTATCGGCCAAAGTCCGATCTTTCTCTGCCACTTCTAACCCCCGAAATTTCAACGCGGAAGCAGCGCTCATCTCCTGTATTCTCTGGCCCCACCATGGGATGGGGCCAGAGAATACAAGAGATGTGGGCTCCTACCCTGTGACCTTGTTTTGTCACGGATTTCATTTTGCCGATCTACTGCCTTTAAATTTATAGTTGTTTACAAAACAACCTTGCTTTTCTTTAATAACCACAAAATCTTCCCACCCGAAAGTTTTGTGCAAAATCGCGTCGTCCCAGCGCCGCCGCGCAAAATTAGGCTTCTTCGTCAATGGGTTAATGCTTATCCAGGACAGAATCATTAGCTAACAAACTTTATGCAAGCTTGTCTCACCGCCGGTAGTCTCCGCCTCCCAGCTTCTGGTACCAAATGCACCTCCAAACATTGAAGTCTGGGCCAGTTGTCCGCAACAGCAGAGCCTATTGCAGATCGAAGGTCCTCTCCCGCTTAGATGATGATGATGATGATGTAGGTTACAGTAGTGCAAGCGTTATCGCACTACAGGATGCTCCACAAAAGCAAATCACAAATGTTTGCATTCATCTGTTGAGCAAAAAAAATTGCGAAAGGTTTTTTGGAACACTTTCAAGATAACAGTGAAATGATGAAGAATGAAAGATCTACCTACAAACTGAATGAGAATGACTGCTTTAGGACTAGTAAATGTGATGTTTTTTCACCAAATCATTTGAATTGAAAACGATCTTTCGCAGCCCGTCTTACTTTATTTGGACCAGCTTTTGTAATCCATTGTAGTACAATGTGCTATGAAACTCTGGACCGTGTGTGTAACTATTTGGTAGTCCCAGAATCGAACCAACTTTCTTTCTACTTTGTTATTAGTCCTTCTACATTTTTCTGTGCTCAGTCAGTATAACTCGGCACGTACCCTTTGATTAAACGACATTGGCGGCTGGAAGGCAACCGCTTGCGCCCGCTACGCAGCTTGCGTCTCTGTTGCGAGCGTGCTCTCTGATCATTCTCTAGCCTTGATTAGGTCACGAAACCGCTAATTTCAGCAATCCAGTTGAATCAAAGGGTGCTTATTAAACTGTGATGTTGGGTTCTCGTCATGCACTATCTCAAACTTTTTGTTTTGTGACTTGGGGCAAATGCTTCATGCTATTTCACCTATGCAAAGCGGGTGTTTCTGTTTTTTTCTAAGTCGAAAACAAGAAATCACGGATCAGTCCTTTTGAGGAAGATAATACATTCGCAGTAGGCTAGGACTCGAATCTGCAGAGCGCTTATGGGGAGGAATTATGGAAAATTTTTGAAGCAAGAACTTTAACGCGCAGCCACCATAAACCCATTCAGTACTGGAGTCTGTGATCTCAAATGGGGCCATACTTCCACGGCACCTTACGCAGTTGCCTTCAGTCTAATAAACTTACGCTAATCATTACTATCCCAAGCGCTGGAAAGACCTCAACACTTTTTTACCTCAAAAAACCCCTCGGATTTTTGCCTCGATTATTCCCATAACCCCCCCCCCCAAGCGCTTGCAGACAACGAAACCAGATTTGAAATCAGCGTTTCATGCTCTGTATGACAGTATAATTTTTCTGGAAACTCCGCTTCGATTGTCTATCTTTCCCTTGTTAGATGAGGTGTAGGATTGAGCTCATAGTTTTAATCTTCTGTCTAAATAGTCGAGAATTTGGAAACATCATCCAGACCATTCAATTCGCAATACTGTTAGCTTTCTTTTCTCGCTCAGCTTATGGCAGCTACGGATAACGATTTTTGCAATTGTTTTTTTGCTTTAGGAAGCTCACGCACGAGGAATTCATCGTACAGTTCATGCCGGAGAAAGTGGAGGCGCTAAGGAAGTGATCAGGGCGATCAGTGATATGCATGCAGAAAGAATTGGACATGGTTATCGCATAATGAGGGATTCTGATTTGTACAAGAAGTGAGCCACCTATCCTGATACGCAGTAGGTTGTACCAAATGACCTCTGAATGTGTGACCCTCTCAGGCATTTCTTGGATGACCGAACCATTCATCTGGAAGCTTGCCCATACTCATCCGTTATGACAGGTGCCGTGGAACTGGATTGGAAGAAACATCCAATTTCGAGGTTTGTGAGGACTCTGTATCGTTTGATAATCCCTGAATCTTGATGATTGGCTTTTGTATTCAATATTATATTAATATTCAAATCCTGGTATCTCAGGGAAATTATATTCGGCAGGCTTCGAGGGGAGGGGGGGGGGGCTTGAAAGAATTGCTGGAGGCTATTCTAATTGCCGACAACAATTTCTTATGAATCACGAGTGCACATCAACTTTTCTTGAAAGAAAAGATTGAGTTACTCTTTACAAAGATTCATCTAAATTCATATGATTGTCATTGTGCATAAAATGCACCCCAACCACATTATCGCTACGTAAAAGTACTTGGTATGGTGTACAGTAAGGAAGAATTATCCGCAGCACTTGTCTTTCATCACCTATGGTTGACCAGCCCTTTACTTGGCACTGGGGAAGTCGAACTCAGTGTTATATTAATGAATGAATCAAGCTCTTGTTATAAATAACGGTAAATGTTGCAGCTGGGCCAAAGACAAAGTGAATTTCTCCATTTCTCGAGATGACCCCACATGCTTCGACAACACTATGCTGAGTGAATTGCAGCTTGCTAGAGATGAAATTGGCCTTACCCCTCACCAACTTTGGCAATGCGTAAGTTTGTGCCGTCTTTATGTGTAGCAACTTCCCTATCAAGCTAATTCAGCAACTGAACGCAGCACGTTCGTGTTTCCTGCCGGACGACGAGAAAGAACCGATTGTGGCAAGAATTCTTGCAGCTGAACCTAAAAATTGATTGATCTGTACTTTGTTTTGCAAATCATTCCTCTTACTGTTTTACTTTTCACTTTACATGAAGCCTTACTGCTATCAGTCGTTTACATATAGACAGATCTCATCCTAACAGTGAGAGATGTGCGCTTTCTTGGTCCCTTCGCCTTGGTCGTCCTCTTCATGAACACAACATAGTGAGTAAAATCTATAAATGGGACAAAAAAAGGAGGGCTAGGTGACAGCCAGTCACCCGATTAGGCACCGCTCGTCTAGAATTGGGGGTGCCTAACCGGATCTAGACTCATCTAGAGAGTATGCATCGGCCAGTTCGGTAAGGACTGTCAGACCACTCCATAGTGCGTCTTTCAAGTGGAGGGTTTGCAAGGTACTCAAACTAATCCTGTCCGTTTGCCGTGCGACTGTGTTCTGTATTTTTCGACTTATCGGATACACCTGTTCAACGGAAACTGAATTTCATCGAGCAGTAGCGAAGAATATTATAAATGTCATTCATTATATTGCTTACCCACCGGGCACGCTTTTTCATCGCTCATACATGGTGAAATTTCCAATATGGTTAGGGCTTTTATAGTTTACCCATCTCTACACATCAGTGGCGTACCGAGGAAGAGTGGGCGAGGGGGGACGCGCGCCCCCTCGAGAATGGGTCGCAAAATTTTTGAAAGTTACTTACATGAGTTGTAAAAATGTGCAAGTGACTTGTTTATTTTTGTAAACAATTAAAATAATTTTCAAAATTTTTTAAAAATTCAAATTAGCCTTAATAAAAAAATTTTTTCGGGGGCGTGGCTGACGCCGCGCCCCCTTTTTCCAGATTTTAGGGGTTAGGGGCCCGCAAAAATTTTGGGAAGCCCTCCTAAAAATTTTTCGGAGTGCGTGGCTAACGCCACGCACCTTCATTTGAAAAAAATTTTTGCCGCGCCCCCCCCCCCGAGCCGAAATCCTGGGTACGCCACTGCTACACATAATCATACAGAGGAGTTAGCAACACAAGATGTTGGTGAGTATACGCGCTTTTTCTAAGAACGTCCAAGTCTTTCTAATCAAGAAATGTAAGCATAAAAAGTAGTGTGCATTTAATCGGCTCAATCATCTATCTGCCTAGTAATTTGTCCGATCAAATGCAATACTATCGCTCAAAAGTGTTGTCTCATTATTTGTAGTCCTACAAGGGAAGCCCTCAGAATCGAAGTGGCCGATTGTGGCGTGGTATGCACCCGGGCTTGGGGCGTGGGAGTTCATATCAAATGGGCGCCCACTAGCTGCGATGCATTATTCTGGAAAAAGTTATAGCATTCTAAGGTTCTGCCGCTTGCATTGTCTAGAGACCGCATGTCTATTCCAGTTGTGACTGTCGTGTAATCTAGAGGTTAGTGTCTGGGACTCACAGGATGAACCATGAGGGTTCGAGTTGTCTTGGTGTACGCGTTTTGCATTCCCTTGTATACCATTTTTTACCCGTTCCTTGCATTTTTGGGGCAAAAAATACGCATACAGCTGGCTATACTCCATCTTGTTAAACAAACTCTTTGTGGGCGACTTACATTGGGCGGAAGGCTAGCGCCTTTGGAATTCGAGCGGAAAGGTGGCGCTTTTTACTTGTTACAAGGAATGCATGTTCAGTCAAAGTGGCCTTTTTATATGAGATGTATATCGTACTGAAGGGCATAAAATGCTGATTCCAGATCTGCCTTGCTTATCTGCAGGACATTTATGGACGAGGATTTATGAATCCTTATTGGAGCAAGAAAGTGAATGTACAAGTAGGACCAAAATAGCCGCAATACTTTTTCTAGCTCTTCAACGAAGCAGTGACAACCATCAGAGCACTTTATTCAAATAATACTCGAAAATGAAAAATATATCACATTTGGTTGCATTATTTTAGGGCTAGTAAGATTTTAGCAACTCATTTTATCCAAAATGCGCATTCAATTTTTGGCTCCAAAAATCGCTCATAACTCCTCGTACTTGAATGTTCTGCAGATAAGAAAGGCAGTTTTAGAATCAGCTTTTTGTGCCTTTAATATGGTATACATCTCATTTAGAAAGGCATTTCGACTAAACAAGCTTCCGTTGTTAGGTAACAGGCGGTTCAGTGATAGTTTTATCTTTTATTACCGTATACTACGAATGCTCGTCACAAGTGTGCAGGAGGAAGTCACCTTCAGAAGGCGTGACCGAGGAGAGAGAGGGCGGAGGTTAGAGCTTCTGGCATGTGCCAGAACACTCCAGCCAAGCCCACGAAATGGATACAGGGCCTATAGGCTCTATCAGCCAGCATCGGTCCCGCGCCAGTATAGCTTGCGGCGACGCGCCGTCGCATGTGACGTGCCTACAGTAAGTTTCGCCTCGCTTTAGGCGGAAATTTAGGATATACTGTAGCTCGCGCCGTTTCGCAGCTACAGTATATCCTATCGTGCTGAGAACCCATGTCTGCGTCTCTTCAATCTCCTTAGTCTTTGCTTGGCAAAGATGATCACTTGCATCACCCCCCTTGGGGATGATCAGCATGCTCGATTACCCCCCTGTGCCAACTCCCAGCCCCCTAGCTCAAACTTTGCAAAAAAATCGATAAAATCGATAAAAGTAATCGATAATCCTGAAAACCAATATTGTATTCGGAATCCCCATGCTCGATTACCCCCCTGTGCGAACTCCCAGCCCCGTAGCTCAAACTTTGCAAAAAATCGATAAAATCGATAAAAGTAATCGATAATCCTGAAAACCAATATTGTATTCGGAATCCCCATGCTCGATTACCCCCCTGTGCCAACTCCCAGCCCCGTAGCTCAAACTTTGCAAAAAAATCGATAAAATCGATAAAAGTAATCGATAATCCTGAAAACCAATATTGTATTCGGAATCCCCATGCTCGATTACCCCCCTGTGCCAACTCCCAGCCCCGTAGGTGAACTCAGCAAAAAAATCGATAAAAATCGATAAAATCGATATCGATCGATGACGAAAAGTAGCCTATGACACCCGCCGGGGCCCGTAGTGTATGTGTGCCAAGTTTGGTCCGGATCGGTTCAGAAATGGAATTTTCTATTCGGAACATACGTACACACAGACAGACAGACATACAGACATACAGACAGACAAACAGACATTCAGCTTTATATATAAGATAGTATCCGCTAGCTCAAACTTCGTAATTTCGCAAAAGCGATTTGAGCCTGTCTTTTCCAGTTTGAGAAATCGGAATTGAAAAATGGGACAAACGAAATCAATCGAAATCGAAAGCTTGCTGTTAACTACTTGATTTCATAGTTCAGAAGTTATTTGAAGTGAGATTGCTACTGTGAGCAAAAAGTAGCAGCTCTTTGTGCAAAGTGCAAAATTAAATATTAAACTTAGCTCTGAAACAAAGCTAACATGCTCGAAAATGACCACCTCACTTGGGTTGCCCAAATTTTGGAACACATCTCGCTGAAACTTGGCCCAAAGGATTGACATGTTAATTATTGCCAAAACGTCAGTCAATAAAGAAGTTACTAATCTCGGTGTGCAGCTCAAGCAGTCTAAGAAGCAATCAAACAATGTCGAGATTGAGCGACGGTCGAGCTTGGACAATGATGTTATGCTTTTGAAGGCAGTGTCCAGGCAAATCTGGGCGCAACGGTTTTTCGCCTGAAAACAGATGAGGGGTCCTGACTAAGGCATTGCCCAACTCAGACAGCGAATAGGACCCCTCCGCCGGAGAAATGGCAGGGTCGCGGCGTTTCCCCAGCGGTGGGTCTGCCAATCGTCCGCCGGAGCCCTCCCATTTCTGCTCCGGATACCTCCCATTTTCTGCTCCGGAGACCTCCCATTCTGCTCCGGATACCTCCCATTTTCTGCTCCGGAGACCTCTCATTTTCTGCTCCGGATACCTCCCATTTTCTGCTCCGGAGACCTCCCATTTTCTGCTCCGGATACCTCCCATTTTCTGCTCCGGATACCTCCCATTTTCTGCTCCGGATACCTCCCATTTGCGCTCCGGAGACCTCCCATTTTCTGCTCCGGATACCTCCCATTTTCTGCTCCGGAGACCTCCCATTTGTGCTCCGGGCCCCTCCCATTTTCTGCGGCGCGGCTCTTCCAAATCTGGCAGAGCCGCGCCGGAGAAATGGCGTACCTTTGCAGCAGGGCCGGAGAAGCGTCCCATTTGCCTGCCAGTGATGTCACCGCGACGGACCGCCCATTTGCCCCGCTCTCATTGGTCAACTGGGTCCGGCGCGACTCTGGCAGATTCGGACTGTCCGGCGGAGGGGTCCGGTCGATTGTCTGAGAAGCGGCAGCGCAAATGATTCATTCACGGCTGGGAAATCTGTTCCCAAACCTTCCGTGCCTGCACCGTAACCGTAACCCTAACTTAGGATGGGTCCCAGCGAACGTAGTGTTAATGTGAGTGAGCTAGCTCACTTTAAGGTTACGATCAGGTAGGGGGGGGGGGTTATAGACGGATTTCTCAGCCGTGAATGAATCATTTGCGCTGTTGCTTGGGCAGTGCTTTACTTCGGACCCCTCATCAGTTTCCAGGGGAAAACCCATGTGCCCAAATTTGCCTGGACACTGCCTTTGAATCTCATCATGATGCTAACTTACGTATACGATCGTGGTAAGGTTTACCAAATTTTTTTGTCTTTATGTGCATTTTTAGAAATAACTCGAAACCCCCCCCCCCCACAATGGTCGGTCGCCTCATCGTGGCGTGGGGGTGACACTGGGTGTCGAACTGCGATGCACAGCCGAGTGTATACTCTGGTAGGGCCTCCCAAGCTGTGAAGGAGTTCGACGTTTCCGGTTTCGGCCGGATGCCTAGCTAAGAACTGGCCGCGCCAGATTCTCCGCCGTCTGGCTTCTTCTGGTCGCTAGGCGGTCCCTCCCCGCTCCAAGCCCGGGGTCAGCGATCACCCCGTGGAAATCAAGAGTAGGCCTAGTAAGCCACCTCTTGTAGGGGAACAAATTTTATTACTCAGACAGCAAGAAGATATAGAAAAAACCCTGTACATGGATCCCGCCTACGGCGCCGGGTGGTAGCAAGAACGATGTCAGGGTACTCAGGGCGCCTTTCGGATTGGACAAAAACGACACGTCTGCCCGGACGACACGCCATGGAGACTGCCTCATGCTCTGCACTTACAACGCCAGGACAGTCTCCACAAACGCCGACCTCCACGCTCTTCTCGACGCTGCAGAGCACATCAACTACCACATCATTGCTCTGCAGGAAACGAAGTCCAGGAAGAAGGACGTGCGACAGATGAGTGATGGGACCCTCATCATTCGTGGTGAAAAGGTTCCATCACGAAACGTGGGAGGCGTCGGCTTTGTCGTCCACCCATCTATCGTCCATCTTGTCGATTCGCACGAGATCCTATCACCTCGATGGGGCATCCTACGACTACGACCTCCACATCAGAAGACCATCAGCATCATCAACTGCTATTCTCCAACATCAGCAGCTGACGAATCAGAACTAGATGCTTTCTACGAAGATGTGGAGGAGGTCGTCCGCAACGAGAAGTCCTTTTACAAGTTTGTTGTGGGCGACTTCAACGCGAAAATCGGGGTGCCACTGGAAAGGGAATATAGGATAGGGAAGTTTGGATATGGGCTCCGGAACGAAAACGGCAACCGTCTTGTTGGGCTTCTCTCCGCCGCACGACTTTTCCATGGAAATTCCATCTTTATGAAGAAGGAACATCGCCGGTGGACATGGGAATCGCCCAACGGAACGACCCACGCGGAGATCGACCACATTCTCACCAACCGAAGGTGGAGCTTACTCGATGTCTTTGTAGTTCCATCCTTCTGTAGTGGCTCCGATCACCGCCTCCTTCGAGCGAAGATACGACTCAGCCGAAGGCTGGAAAGGAAAGTCTGTCATAGTGCCGCGAGAAGGAAGGAAGTCGTTTATGACGGTAACAGGCTGGAAGAGCTCATATCAAGTTGTGACTGGCCCATCGAGGAGGACCCAACGTACGACTACGACCGGCTTCTGAAAGGATTGCGAGCCTGCGGAGAATGCGCCTCAGTGACTTCTGAGAAGAACTTGGACCGCATCTCGAAGACCACCAAGGAATTGCTCGAAAGAAGAAGATCATTGAGGCAGGATCCGAATGCAACTCATCTCGAGCGACTGATTGCCAACACCAGTTGCAGAACAGCTTTGCAAGAGGATCTCAGGAAGTACAGGCAAGCCAAGATACTGGAAGCAGCAGAAAGAAGACGAAGTCTCAAGAAGTGCCGAAGGGACCTCTGCGAATATCACGTACCGCTGGCTGCACTACTGAACGAAGACGGGACTCCGACTTCTTCCCGATACAAGATGGAATCTATCGCGAAGAACTTCTACACCAACCTCTTCCGCTCATCAACACCCGTGCAGATGCCCGTTGTTCCCACTGGAGAAGTACCACCACGAATTCTACCTGCTGAAGTGCGTATCGCGATACAGACCATGAAGACGTCCACGGCTCCAGGACCAGATCATCTTTCCGTCGAACTTCTGCGAGCCGGAGGACACCGTCTACACGAGATTCTAGCGTCGCATTTGACATCTTACCTTCAGAAGGAGAAGGTTTCCGACCAGTGGAGAACGTCAAGAACCGTCCTTCTCTTCAAGAAGGGTGAACGGGAGGATCTTCGGAACTATCGTCCAATATGCTTGCTGAGTGTGCTGTACAAGCTTTTCACGAAGATTATCCTCGCTCGCATATCAAGGACACTGGATGAAGCCCAACCCCAAGAACAAGCTGGATTTCGCAAAGGATTCAGCTGCATGGACCACATCCAGACCGTTTCGAGGGTCATAGAAGTCTGCCGGGAGTACCGACTGCCTCTCGTCCTAACCTTTGTCGACTACGAGAAAGCCTTCGACAGCTTCGAAACCAACGCCATCCTGTCTGCGCTAGTCGATCAAGGAGTGGACCCAGCTTACGTGAGGACGTTAGCCGACTGCTACAAGGACTGTACAACGACGATGCAGCTATTCCATCGCCCCCTGACCATACCAATCGGGAAGGGGGTCCGACAAGGCGACACAATCTCGCCGAAGCTGTTCACCGCGGCCTTGCAGTGGGTGATGAAGTCACTGGACTGGGACGAGAGAGGCATACGAGTTGATGGGAGTGTTTTGGTTCAGTGGTTGCGGTGGTCTCGCATTACCTCAAACTTGGGTAATTAAACTTTATCTTTGGATCTTTAAATAACATGAACATGAACATGATAACAACAAGCTAAACTACACTGAACTACTATACTAAAGGATAAAAGAAAAGAATACTGAATTTGCTCTTGGCTAAGCCACTTTTATATAACAATATATGTTTGGGTATGTGCTTGAAGGAATAGGCGATGACTAAGCTCAAGTGACAAATGCATGTTTTGTCTTCGAAACCAATCAAAAGTATCAACATACGACTTTTACAAGGTGAATAATGTTAAGAAAATGAAAGGCGTTTGCAAATTCAGTATACTCCGCCGCGGAATGTTGTAGTACGGGAATGTCGTCTGCTTCTTGAGGAATGTCATCGCATCCTTGTGTTATAGGAGTTTTTCTTGTGATTTTCTTTCGCATCCTTTCTTGATCAACGAGAATATCGTTCTGATGGTACACATGATAATTCGAAAGGCCGTTTTGATGATTGTGGAGGTTATTCGCAGTATTATCTTCAGTATAAGCGGGATAATTCCATTGAGGACGAACGTATAAGTCAATAGTAATGCTCCTGCCACGCTGACAATGGTGATGATCAGAGTGCCGCTCCATTCGGAAAAGACACTCCATATGTGATTGAAGTCAGGCATGGAGATTTCAGAAAATACTTCACTGTCTCCATTCAGCAGATGACGGGCGACGGAGTCGATGCTTCCTACGTAGCGAAGGACACCGACTATTTCAACTCCATTGATTTTTTGTCCACATTGGATGGTGCAGTTCCTATGAAACTTAGCCTTTGCTGAAGTAAATCTGAGTTCCGTGTATGTTCCTCCTAAAGAGCATGGGATTGAAAAGGCATCTTCTTCGCAATGCATTTCTGCCAATGCTTCATTTGTTGATGATTTGCATGAGACATTGACTCGTACTCCGCTTTTGCAGTTGTAACATCCAGTAATTATGGTGTCCTCGATTGTGCAGACGTCATTGGAGAAAATTGAAACAGATTGAAAGTTTCCCCATATTCTTATAATGAATTCGGCTGTAGGCAACTGTGGTATACGTGCCTGTATCTGTCCTTGCTGGGTTGCCCGAATTTCCACATTTGGTTGCAAAATGGGTAATGCGTGCTGTAAATTGCGGATATGAGATGAGAGATTCGCTTCTTTGCAGTCACACATCATCTTCGTTTCTGCTGGTAGGCAGTTGCAATCCTCAACTACTTCACAAGACAGGTTGCGGGCTTCTTCTGGAGTTCGGCATCGTAATGGTGGCTCGAAGTCCCTCGGGGCCAATGAATTGCGTTTTCCATCTGTCAAAAAGATTGAGTTTAGAAATGGTGTTGGTGGAATTCCGAGTGAAGATAGCGTGATTGTTAGTGGTTGATAACTCTTCGGGTGGTTGGGTACCAAGCGAAATTCGTGGGTGTTCTGTCCTTTTGAGTGCGTCATCGTCAATTCAAGGTAGACATATTCTTTCCATCGTGAGCATTTGAAAAATTCGTAGATTTCTTGGTCATTCGGTACAAGATAAATTCGGTAGAAAAGGCATCCGGAGCTGGGGTAAAAACAATCGCACCCCACTCCCCCACAGCTTTCCACACACCCGGTAACTCCTGGGTATTCGTTGGCTTGATGGAGTTCAGGTAATTTTGAAGTCCGATTTACCGACCCGCATTTTTGTCCTTTGCAAGAGCCGGCGTGGGCGCATCGTTTACTGTCGAGAACGGCATACTTGGTGCTTCTTGAATAAATGAAAGTGTCCTTTTCGCAGACTAAAGTGAGGTTTTTCCAGCGTAACTTGATTTCGTGGATAGTGGAGCCATTTTTGGAGAGCCGTATGCATGCTTCTTGTTTGAGAGAGTTGATTTTGATCACTTCTGTGGTGTCGATTGTGCAGATTTCACCTTTTGTTGCTCGTTGACATGTGGTGGTGTGATGAGTAAAGAGATCGACGATCTGACATGCCGATGTGCAGCTTATAATTGCAAGAAAAATAGCCGTATCTGACCATAATCTTCTTCTTCGTAGGCGTCTCCTGTTCTTCATGCGATTCGGGATAGTGCAGAGTAGAAACGATAATGTTGTTTTGATTGTTGACCAGATGAGAAGTCCGCATAGACTGATTGCGTACAAAATTGGAGTTGCGAGAATCCTTGGTATGTAGGAGAGGAGGTAACATACTGTAATAATCATGTAGAAAGAAATTCCTGTCATCAATATCGCCTTACGAGGCCAACATTCTGGATTCATCAACGCCGGTATGCAGAATGTGCATGTGATTTGCGTGCAAAAGGGTACAGCTTTACAGATTGTTTCCAGTACGTTGATTTCGTTCCCATCAGAGACCTTCCATCTAACTTTGTAGGCGTGTACAGTGATGTGAGGGGGTAGGCGAATGAGTTCCGAGGGTTCGGGTGAAGGATAAGAAAGGCAGTAATCTTCAGCGCAAATCTCGTATTGATGTTTCATTTCTTGTTTGAGTAAGACTCCTTCGTTTACGCATTGAAGAGAATGTTGTTTGGTGAGATTTGTGAGCTTCGTACTGGCGAATGTGCTAGTGACCAGGCAGGACATCAAAGTTAGGGTGAAGGTCAGGTTTTGGATTGTCTGAGCTGTCTTCTTTTGACGTGTTGTTGGAGGAGCGTCTTGTTCCTTATTGGATTCTTTCATAGTGTAATTGATGGGCTTGCGCTTCCGTAGATTATAGCGCGACGTAGAGGTCTGATTGCTGCTTGGTTGAGGTGAGGCTGTGTCATCGCTTGTCGGTACAGGATTCTCAGGCTGATCTGGTGAGGCAAATTCGCCTACTTCTATGGGCACAACTTTGTTTACCGGTCTTCTGATGTGATGTTTGTTTGGTAACTCAATTACCAATTCTCTTGTATTTGTTGTATTATCAAGTTCGACAATCCGTCCAATTTTCCAAGTATTTCTGGGTTGCATCGAATCCCATAAGAGAACCACTTCTCCCTCTCTGGGAGTTTTGCTTGATCCGCGTTTCTTGTCAATGTGTAATTTGTGCTGTTCTCGCAGGCTTGTGACGTATTGAGTTCTCCATATTTTCCAAAACTTTTCTGTGAGTCGAATGGATGATTTGAGTGCTTTTTCCACTTGATGTTGGGTAGCTAACTGCAAGGTTTCTTCCGGGGTATGGTAGGTGGTATCCGTTTTGTCGTCTCCGATATGTTCAATGGGAAAGTTGAGTACTACATCATTCTGGAGGAAATCTATTGGCCGCAGGATGGGTTGTTGTTCCCATCGTTCTTCTTGATGTGTTAATGGCCGAGTATTTAGCATAGCTTCGATCTCCGTCATGATGGTCCGCATTTCATCGAAAGACACTTTAGTGCGCCCGAGTACTTTATATAACGAGTTCTTGATAGAACGAATTAGTCTTTCATAAAACCCACCCTGCCACGGTGCGTATGGCGTTATGTGAATCCATACTATCTCTCGTTGTGCTAGTACTCTTTCAACTTCAGTGTTTTCGATTGCTCGCTGAACTAACTCATGAAGGATCTGTTCGCCAAGCAAAAATGTGGGGGCGTTGTCGCAAGTTACTGTTTTTGGAATTCCTCTTCTAGCGAAAAATCGTCGTAGAGCATTGATGAAAGTTCCTGTAGAGAGATCATCAACCAACTCGATATGAACAAGTCTGGTTGTGCGACATGTGAGTATACATCCGTAAGCCTTCGCTTCTTCTTTCGTCGTACATGCGATGGATAATGGACCGAAGTAGTCTAGTCCTATGTGTTCGAACGGGTGCGATCTTTGCACTCTCGTCAGTGGTAAATTTCCCATTTGTGGGTAGGGAAAAGGGAGGTTGTTAAATTTTTGGCATTGTAAACATCGTTGTGTGATACTACGCACTTGTTGCCGAAGTTTCGGGATCCAGTATTCCTGGCGCACCATTGCCATGGTGTGAGCTACTCCGCAGTGGTATTGACTGTGTGCTTCTAAGATGATGAGTCGAGAGAGGGCAGTCTTAGAAGCTATGTAGATGGGCCTTTTGGCGGTTTCTGGGATATCCGCGTGTTTCAATCGTCCAAAACATCGAAGAATACCCTTTTCATCAGTGCGAATATTGAGGTCTTTTTGAGAATTGATCTGGTGTTCCGTGACCATATGTTTTTGATGGTCTCGAATTATGCATAGTCGGGCTTCTCTGAGTTCGACTCCTGTGAGTTCGAAAGTAGTTGCTGCAAACTGGATAGCCGGTATATGGTCGTGGACTTCTTCTTTTCTTTCTTGTTGAAAATGTTGAGTTACGCGTCGTAGGAATCTCATGACGTACGCTACCACTCTTTGAGCTTTGAAGAGGGAACTGTATCTAGTTAGGGTGAACAGTGTTTTCTCTTCCACTTCGTTTGCGATTATCGCGTTTAGCTGTACGGGGAGTACTGGATCTTCCTCGTTGATCGTTGATAGTGAGAACAATTCGGATCTCTGCAGTTTTTTCAGTCTATCTGTAAGTTCAGCGCCGCCCCACCACAAGTGGTTTTTGAGTGTGTTTGGCATAAGTCCTCTGGTACCGCAGTCCGCGAGGTTGTCTTGTGTAGAAACATGTCCAAACAGGCAACTGGTTTTCTGTTTCTCTACGTCTTTCACGATATTTTTTAGTTCCTTTAGGCGATTTTTGACTAATACTCCCGCTGTACTTCGTTTGGAATGTGATTTGATCCATCCTAATACGATTTCCGAGTCCGTGAGAAATATGATCTCGTCTATTTGTATGACTGATGCGAGTGAGTTGTAGGCATATCTGGCAACTCTTGCCCCCAACACGACTGCATTCATCTCGGATTTTGGAATGGTGATCGATGCTTTCAACGAGTGCAGTTTCGATTTTGCCATTAGGAGATTGGTCGCCTCATAGTTGTCGAGGTAGATGCATGTTGCTATAGCGCATTGGCTAGCATCTGTGAAGACAATAAGTCTGTAGTTCTTGGAACTGGGTAGAATTTGTCTTTTTATCTCCTTGTAGAACATCGTTATTCCTTCCGTCAAATAGTACCATTGTACACGGAGGTTTTCTGGAAGTGTGTCGTCCCAAGGGTAGTCATCCTTCCACAAAGACTGCAGGAAAACCTTTGCTGGTAGGAGAATCGGTACTAAAAGGCCCATAGGATCGTAAATGGAGGCGAGTTCTTGTGTCACTCTTCTTTTGGTTATGTTTCTCTGGGGTATTATAGTGCTTGCAAGAACGATATCATCTGTATGAGGTCTCCATGAAACGCCAAGTACTCTCGGATATCGGTTCTTCATGCGATCGTCTGGCTTGATACTGGAGTTGAATGTCTCATCATTTGACGTGAATTCCCTCAAGTTCATGTTTAATCCTTCGAATATTCTTTTTGAGATTTGGTACTTGTGTATCGCTTCTTCTGATGATAATGCTCCAAAGAGCAAATTATCTACGTACAGATTCTGACGTATCTCTTCAGTCATCTCGTTCGGGCTTGTTGAATGTTGGAGGTGAAAATCAATAGTTGCTGCCAGAAGAAAAGGTGACGTATTCAGTCCGAATGTGACTCTCGTGAATCTGTAGGTTATTATGTTGTCGGGTGTTGGCGGACGCGCAATATCTCTAACCCACATACATCGAGTAGCATCTCTGTCGGCTTCTTGGAGTCTTACTTGTAAAAAGGCTTTCTCGACGTCCGAAATCACGGCGATGTTGGGAAGACGAAAACGTAGTAAGATGCCCACCATGTCTGGTAAAAGCAATGGACCTTGGTGTAAAACGTCGTTTAATGATGGTTGATCTTTGTAGTGAGCCGAGGCGTCGAAGACAATTCGCAGCTTTGTAGTTTCTTTCCCTGGTGTAAACACTGCCTGATGCGGAAGATAGTGTACGATGCTGGTGCTGGGAGTCGATTGCTCTAGTACTTCTTCGATGATTCCTTTTGCTGCTTGCTCTTTGAAAATGTTGTCGTAGTCAATCAAAATATCAACATTTTCGGAGTACATTTCCAGTACTTTGTGAAGTCTCTTCATCGCTATTGCTTTATTGTCCGGTAGCTTGGGATGATTGTTCTTCCAAGGAAGTCTCACATAATAGCCGTCTTCTCGATGTTGGATGGTATTTCTGAAGTTTTCAAGAACTTGGTTGTTTATTAGTTGTTGCTCATTCTGTAATGTGCCTGTGAATTCATCTGTTCCAGTGTTTTCTAAGGCCCAATAACGATCCCACATCTCCTTTTCAGTGACTGAGCTTCGGATCGTTAATACTGTTGGTGATTTGGACGTTTCACTTGCTTGACGACCACTGATTATGTATCCAAATTTAGTGGGGATCAGTAGGAGTCCGGAAGGTAAGCTGAGACGTCCTATTGGGAGTATGAAGTTCCAAACATAGTCACATCCAAGTAATATCTGTGGTTGCAAAGGCTTGCCTTTGACTGGCAGTGAAAGAGGTATTTCCTGAGTTGTTATGAATTCCATATCCTTGTCATCTAGATCTGCTTGTTCGATACATCCTGTAATGAAGTTATTGCGGTGTAGACGAATCTGATGTTCTACTCCTTCTGTGTCGCGTAGTTTCAAATTTGTGATGTCACATTTCTTTGCTATAGGAGTAGGCGATCCAAAAGTATTGATCATCAAAGAAGTTGATCCCATACTAGGTAGTTCAAGATCATTAGCTAACTGGTCGCTTATGAACGAGAGATCTGAGCCTGTGTCCAAAAGTACTATGGCTTCGTGCATCTTTCCTCTCGAATCGAACACTTTTGTAGATCCAGCCAGAAGAATTACCTTGTTACGTTGAAAGGTGTTCGTTTCGTCACACCATTTGTTCGTTTGCAATACAACTGCTTCATTATTGACGGTGAGTTGGTTTGTGGTTTGTTTTTCTTCTTCGTTATGGTTTTCTTCTTCGATCTCTTCCGACGTGATGACGTGTTGGTTAGTATTCCTCGTTCCTTTCATCGGTCTTTGGGTTGATGTTTTTATTGCTGGCATTTTTGCTCTTTGATGTTCGTGAGTCTCCTTGGGTGGACGCTGCGGTCCTTGTTTGGATGGCGCTTGTGAATTCTCGCTGCAAATTGCTGTATGATGTTTTTGTTGACAGTTGCGGCAGTTGCCTCTTGTGCATGACGCAGCTCGATGTCCTATACGTCCGCAGTTCAAGCATCTTTTTGTTGAAGTGAGAAAGTTTCTTTTAGCAGACGGGCTTGAAATCTTCATACAAGTGTTCCATTTGTGTCCTCTTTGTCTACAGTACTCACAATTGCCATCTGATTTGTCGTGTTCTCTAATGCGCTCCTTGACATCAATGTCTGAATACATCATATCTCTGAGTTTTTCTTCTTGTGCAAGGACTTTATCTACAGCGTTCAACCATTTTTCAAGGCTCCAATTGTTGTCGTCTTGTTCATCCATCTGTAAGTTCATCTCCATAGTTGCTTTTTGTATGCGTCCGTGAAATTTCTGTAGAAATGTTTGGATCGTTAGTCGACTGTCCAAGTGTTCCCCATGTTCTCGCAATTGTGAAGCAATCGCTAAGAGTCGATCCAGTAGCTTTCTTTGTTCGGCAGTAGTTGATCCTTTTGCAGCACTATTGTTGAGACTTTTGTTCAGCTCTCGGATGATGCTGTCCTTGTCGCCATAACGTTTTTGTAAATATTGCACGGCCTTTTCGTAGTTGCTTGCTGTAACGTGAAATCTGGAAACGATTCCTTTGCTTCTCCACTCAAAGAAGATAGAAGGTAGTTGAATTTCTGCAGATTCGTTAATTCTTGGTCATGGTTTGCTTTAAACAGCGTCCAAAAGTTGTCCCAGTTCCATCTTTTTCCGCTAAAGATGGGAATTGGTAATACAGGAAGTTTGCTCAATGCAAGAGTTGTCGGGTTCGCCTCTGAATGTCGGTCTATTCCGATTGACCTTTCATTGTCGTTTTCTGCCGTATAGTCGTACAGAACGCGCCTCAATTTTGACTTGTGATCGTGAAGGTTCATGATAACTTCTTGAGCTGCATCAGTGTACTTGCTGAGTTGTTCGTCATCTTCGACCGAGTGATCTTCGTATTCATCGTAGGCGTTTGCTAGTTTTGCCATCGAAGTTTCCAAAAGAGTGATGTGTTCGTCGCATTCTTTCAGTGCTACGTATGCATCATGAATGCGTTCTTTTCTGGCTGACTCTGAATCGCAAGGATTGGATAAAAGAGCGCTATTTTCTTTCAACCAAGTAGATATCGCTTGCGTGCGTTTTGTGACGAGGCCCTTGAAGGTTCTTACTGTAGCTGCCATCTTTACGTAACAAAGTGACAAGCTATGTTAATCAGTACCTTCTTCCTCTTTCTGTTCGTGTTTTCTGGCTCTTGTTTGTTGCTGTTGTTGTTGTTTTGCGTTCTCGAGACCCGCTGCTCTTCGGTTGGCCGATGCACCAGTTGTTTTGGTTCAGTGGTTGCGGTGGTCTCGCATTACCTCAAACTTGGGTAATTAAACTTTATCTTTGGATCTTTAAATAACATGAACATGAACATGATAACAACAAGCTAAACTACACTGAACTACTACACTAAAGGATAAAAGAAAAGAATACTGAATTTGCTCTTGGCTAAGCCACTTTTATATAACAATATATGTTTGGGTATGTGCTTGAAGGAATAGGCGATGACTAAGCTCAAGTGACAAATGCATGTTTTGTCTTCGAAACCAATCAAAAGTATCAACATACGACTTTTACAAGGTGAATAATGTTAAGAAAATGAAAGGCGTTTGCAAATTCAGTATAGGGAGATTCCTGTCCAACCTTCGTTTTGCGGACGACATCGTTCTCTTCTCGAGCAGTATCACCGAAGCAGAGACGATGCTGAAGGAACTAAACGAAGTAGGGAAGAAGATCGGACTGCGAATAAATCGGAAGAAGACTCAGTTCATGAAGAACGCCCTTTGCGAAGATGCAGAAATGGAATTGGAAGGCACCCCGATTATGGAGACGTCTTCCTACGTGTATCTCGGACGTTCGATGAACATGGAGAACGACTTGAGGGAAGAACTCAACAGGAGAAGAAGAGCAGCCTGGGCCGCCTTCGGGCCCCTGAAGGAAGCCACCGACCAACTGACGGACCCGGAGCTTCGTGCCCACCTGTTCGACTCAACCGTTCTCCCGGCGCTCTGTTACGCAGCTGAGACTTGGGCCGACACTGTAGCCACGTCGAAAGCTCTACGGACCACCCACAGAGCGCTCGAGCGCAGTCTTCTGAAGATGACCCGACGCAAGCAACATCTAGTCGGACTTCGCAGCACGGATATGAGAAGAATGTCCCGTCTTCGTGACCCAGCGGAATACGTCGCGAAAGCCAAACACCGATGGGCCGGTCACATAATGAGAAGAACAGACGACAGATGGACACTAAGAACATCGGAGTGGATTCCTCGCGAAGCCAAACGTCCCCGAGGAAGACCTCCAACGAGATGGGCAGACGTGTTCGTGGAACGGATGGACCAGCTGAGAAATCAGCTGGATACGATTTTTGCACCTGGAACTCGTGGACGCAGCCACCGACGTCAGCCAAGAAGATCGTGGATGTCAGAAGCGAGGGACAGGGAAAAATGGAAACTTCTGAGCTGGGGCCCGCACGTCACGTGAAGCCGGGCCATCTAAGTATCTAAGTAAGTAACTCGAATCCTGAATCCTTTGACTGATGGATTCGTATTCGCAATCCGATTTTTTACTGTTCACTATATATGTGGTTATCCAAAGGAAGAAGTTATTTCAGGGAGAACTCTTTACTCCAAAGATTTTGTCCTCTATACATAACCTAGGGCAAGATGCATATGATGCGTGATTGAAAAACTAGATAAACAAGAAGGAAACGTAAATCTTGCTAAACGGAATTCTGGGTCCTATGGTGCCTAGGAATTGAAGAAGAGAATTTCTTGTTACGTCGAATTAGCTTCATCCTCATTCGATTTCAACGCTGACGTATAAAGCCGCACCAACCATATAATAGAATGCAATTACTGAAAGCCACCATTTACTACCCGCAAAACATCAATTTCGATGAAGATTTTCAATTCTAACAGGTAACTATGCAGTGTCAATCATAACTATAACGAATGCTTCCCTAGAATAAGCAGAACGTGTTAGTATGCTCCGTTCAAAGTTCGAGTAAAATGTTCAATCCTGTGTCGCTCCAACGTAATTATAGTGCTCCAACTTTAGCTAGTGTATTTTTCGAGTAAATATAGTGTGACTAAAACTGAAAAATGTTGTCCATACGAGGATAGCATATAGTGCATACAACTTTTCATGCCAGTTATCATGCATACATGCGATACATCAAATGTCTAGCCAGTAGTAAACTATCTTGAGCGCTCCCACATCTTTATTACTCCCACACAGGTCCTGAAGTTCGAGGTTCCGTAGAAGAGATGTGCCCACTGTAAAAATATCAGTCTTCATAACTGACACAATGAAGCAAATCAAACAGATTTTAGACTTTTTTGGATGCAAGTCAAAATTCGAATCAACTTCGCAGAACAACTTCGCAACTTCGTATGTACTATGTTGGTGCGGAAGTTTTTTCTTTGTTTTAAACTTACCCTAAAATTACACAGAGTTAAAATGAACAAATAGCTTAAGCACTATCCAATTCAAAGATTCTTATGTTAGCGGTGCGACATTTTCGATGAGATTTCTGAAGCTTATGACCTTTCATTTCTACCATTCCTAATTTTTGCTAATTCCCAAACCATTCATCTGAAACATTCAAAGGTGCTTTGATAATCTGATGATAGGGCAAACTTTTGCAAACCATTGCAACTCTTTGTATATTTTTGTCATACTTTTAAAAATTATAAAAATATGTTTTCTGAAGCGACCAAATTTCAAATTTGGCCTATTCTAACCTTGGAAAACATGAAATTGTAAACAGTTCATGTACCATTCGATGCAGCTTTTTCACCTCTTTGTCACAGCTACTTTTTCCCTACGATACATTCGACTTTTGCCCCCGTTTTACTGAGTTTTACGAGTGCGCACTTTAAAACCTTAGAATTCAAGATGTATGTTTTTGAAGCTACAGTGGTTCATTTGATTTATATGATTAGTGGTTGTGATTATCGAGTTTTGAAATCTTGATATCTCAAAGATTCTGCAGTTCTTGGTTCATTTATGCGTTACGCCCTTTTTCAAGCAAAATCATAAAATGAAGGTGGTGAAGAAATTCAGAAACTTGGCGAAGGTCAGGCACGTTAAAATGAAGGGTCGAAAGTGCCGCGTCGCGAACATACCAGTGGAAAGAGAAGGAAATTCCGGCATAGTGCCTGAGCTATTTATTCATCTTAACTCTATGGGACTTGAGGGTATGTCTAAAAAGAAAAAGAACTTTTGCACCGACCCTTTGTAGTAGGATCAATAGTGTTTTTACCAGAAAATGGGTATCGAAGAACCCAGACATACTGCTGGTAATTTGTGAAAAGATTCATCACACGCCGTCGGAGTTCGCCAAACTTCGCGTTGCATCGCATCTCTCGTTAGTCAAATTTGAGGATTTTTGCAAATTTTCGCTCACTGTAGATCGATCATTGTGCTACAAACAAAGGGTGTGGTGCGAGGCGACAATCCTGAAATTCTGTGCCTTTCAGAACTCTCCGTGCTAAAGTGATACGGCGCCATGGTAGGGGGTTGGGGGCAGATACTCTACTCTATGCCACAAGTAAAATTCTGTAAAAATTAGCAAGAGCAATTTTACATTTTGCGCGCATAGTCATCTTCTGCGTGCCCTGTAAATAGACCTAGATTTACCTACTCTGAGGGACCAAGAATCTGGAAGGATCCGTAAATGACCAACTTCGTGCTCAAATGGGCACTTCTGTATAATAAAAATGCATCTCGTCGAGCTAAGTTGAATGGTGGTTTTGGAATCAAAATTCGTCCACTCTGAAGCAAGATATGGCGATGCAACGCGAAGTTCGGCGAGCTCGGGCGGAGTGAGGAGCTTTTTACGAGCGTTATTACTGCACACTTAAAGTGTTTCGTTTTGAAGTTCAAATGTTTCCCATGCCAAAAACTTGTGAGACCACTATATGTCAGTGATGTCTCATAGACACCAGTAGAAAATGCATATTTTTTCAAACGAATTGGAAGAGATTATGATTTGTATTATTTTTTCATATAAAACACTTCCTGATTATTGTTTTGATTTGATTGTTGAGCCACGTCCGAGATTGGTAACAATATTTATTAGGCTGACGTTTCGGCTATGTCGCCTTCTTCAGAGCCTGAAATGGGCGACAACAATCCATAAACTACCCGATCAAGCATCTCGTCAGCCTCACAAGCGAATTTCTAAGCTTCCTTTCGGATCTCAAGCAAGCTGCCACACGCAATACTCACCTTTTCGATCGCCGGTGGAATTCTTAAGTATAAACGAGTGCTGACTGATCGCGTGAGTAGATGATTAAACATGTCTTCACCAGATCAGAAAATCTGATCTAGATATGGTGATAGTTCGCGAGTGATAGAAAGGCACTCATCTTTGCGATTCATTTTAGGGTGTTTGAAATGAATCCAGAACGCTTCTAATGTTTTGCGAGTAGATGTTTGAGGCTCACGCGCAAGGATTTCTACATTCACTTCAAAATTCACTCCTTGATGCTCGTGCACTCTGTGGGCGCCCAGTGGAGTGGATGGGCGTGATCTTTCTTTGCCATTGAGATGTTCTTTGATGCGTACGCATAGTGGGCGCGCTGTTTCCCCGATATACTCGTCACCGCAACTTTTGCATGAGATGAGGTATACAACCCCTGTACTCATACAGTCGCCATCCTTTGCTGTGGGACATATCAGACAGTTTGGCATGGTGCAACTGTGGTCGTACATGCGATTCCGAACAAGAATGCGTTTCAAATTGTTCGGGGGCATGTCTACTACCAAGACTGAATTGTCCAACCCTGCTCTCCTCAGACATCGCCGAATGGCGGTGCTCACTTCATCAGAGATAAAGGGTATACAGAATGGTATCTTTTCTGCTGTTGGCGATGCTCTTTCCTCTACGTTACTTCTCTGATGGGCCCTACATTGCATTATTTTATTTTCATAACCGTTGGATGAAGCTATCATACGTGCAACGGCCAACGACTCCATCTTCTCTTCTCGACCACTACAAACCTTCGCGGCTGTGCGAAACATATTCCTGATTACTGCTCTTTTTGTTTGTAGGGGATGCGCTGAGTGGGAGTGGATCAGAATGTTCTTATTCATAGGCTTTCGATACCACTTCGTTTTTTGGTTGCCATCA